GTCAATAGGGGGGAGATGTTGCCCATGGGGGCGGGGGAAGGGGGGGGAAATTAGGAGGGTTTGCGGTTCCGGGGAGCCAAACCCCTTTTTTTTTAGGCTGGGGTCTCCAAACCAAAAACATTTTTTTTTTTTTGTTTGGTTTCCCCAGGAACCAAACTCCTTGGGGCCCCCCAATGTAAGTTGGTGGGCTCCCCCCCCCCCCCCCCCGGACAACTCTTATTGTTCAGTTCAATCTCACCAACTTAGGTGTCCGCGGGGATGACGCGAGTTTGGTGATGATTCGGGCATTTTTCGTTTCTCTGTGGTTGTGACAGCGCCGACAGCTCTAATCGTATCTCCGGCACTAGCATAGCAACGCACACCCACTTGTACCACACAAAACGTTTGACCCCCGATATTTGAACCAGTCTTCTTTTTCTCGGTGACAGCTGATATCCAAAGAAAAAAACTCTGCAACCGGCAGCTTTCACGCCACGTCATGATGTGTGCCTTCAATCCCATGACGCACAAGTACTCGCCGACGAGACCTCGAGAGAATAAAAACGTCATCAGAGAGTTTTTGTCTCCCCGCTGTTGACCCCCTATAATAGTGTTGTCTGATCTACTCGTGCTCTGTGATGCACGCACTAGTCCGCTGGATGATATCCTATTTCCGTCTCTGCTACCTGTCTGTCTGAATGATTGTGTGTTTCCCATGTAGGGTGAATGCTTCCGTTTCCTCTCGCCCCTCAACGCCAAGGTTGTGACCGAGTTTGTTCGGTGACTCGGTTTCGTCAAAAATGCCACTCCAACACCCCCGCATCAAACATGACCGTCGTCTTCGTCCTCCCCCTACTCCTGCTGCTGCTGCCTGTCGTGTGTGCGCACGCGTGCGCGCCCGAAGGTGCTAGATTTGGGGCTGGAGTCAACTACCGCGGTGGGCTTTTCAGGGGCCTTCCACTCATGGGAGACGCACTGCTACTAGCGTCCCCCCTATAGCGGCACGATGACGTTGTTTCAAGTCGCATTTAACGTTAACGCCTTACTGCTCACTCATGTGCGGTAGGACACCCTGCCGCTCACTCGTCTTTGAATTGAACAAAGTCACGGCAACCGTTTTTCGTTTCTCAGTCGCCCTCATTTCCCACGCATTTTTCGACGCTTTTTTTTGCTTGGCGGTATTTGGACTAAAGGCCTTCGGTTTTGATGACCTCGTAATACATACACCACCGTGACCTGACATATGCATCTACTTAGGCGTCACATCACTAGTTCCACAACCTTGGCCATCAAAGTCAAGTCAACTCCGTCGATGCTCGTCTGCATATGTCCGTCCAGCGTTTACCCCTTTGTCGCACGGTGCTGTTGAGCTCAGTGCAAACAACAACCCTCACGGTTGGGATCACATAGCACAGCGCAGACCTCTCAAAGGGTTGGCAAAATCACCTATACCGCTCGTGCCTCTGGCGAACTGCTGCTCGCTAGTTCTCGGGGTGAGGCAAGGCTACCCTCGACAACAGGGCAAAAGGAAGAGACACGCGCCAGCAATAATGGTGGACCCAGCAGTTGCATGCCTCGGGGATATTTAGAGAACGCAGAATGTACACGGTGGCGCGTTGGACATGTCACCACATTCTTAGTTAAGCCAGGGACAAAAAATCTTCACTCCAAACGTTAGCTACACAAACATGGTTACTTGTTACACCTGTTTGAGAGAGAGGAAACACGACTATTTGCACGCTTTTCTTCTGCCGCAAAAGTGAGGAATTTCACCCCACCGTTCTCCGTGCAAAGGCGCTCTATCTACCGTTCAGCCCGGCGTCGTGCTCTCTACAAACTCTCTTCTAGGGCACCGTGCTGCTTATTTTGGTGCGCGGGGAGGGCATCACGCCCCCCGCGCACACTCTCTTCACCCGGGCCTCGGGGAAAGCGACGGCCAAGTCTTCGCCGAGCACCACCGACCCTAGGTCACCCGGCGCAGGCGTCTTCGCCGCGTCCCCCGAGCTGGTCCGCCTCCGGAGGAAGATCTCGAGGGCGCAGAGCGCCAGGCGGGTCACCTGTGGCCAGGGGCGAGGGGCACCGAAACTCTGTTGTTGGGGCGCCCGTCCGTTTTTTATTGCGTGTGTCGTTCGATTGGCGTTGACCCGCTATCGGGGGCTGTGGGGGGCCGTCGGGAAAGTGTTGCGAATTTCGAGGGTGAGAAAAAAGCCACGCCTGCTGGGGTCAAAGCGAATGCACCTCAAACAAGGAATATGCGCCGGCGCACCCAGCACCGACGTTTTCGCTCGCATCGAAACAGCCCACCCTCACGACAGTCAACCGGTCCTGTAGCCGTTCTCCCGTGGCAACGCATAGCTTTCATCACGCGCCCCTGCACCCACTGCTGCCAGCAGCACAGGCCTCACCTGGTCAATGAAAATGACACAATCTATATCCCCGGCGCCCTGTAGCTTCCGCAACGGTCCGGGGGCGAACAGGGGAGAGTCCGAAAAGTTGGTGTGGCCTGCACAAACCATCGAAACATGCGGTACGGAAGAAACGAATCCTTGAAGAGGAGGGAAGAGGTGAGGACGATTGTATTTTGAACGCAACAGAAACAACAGCAAACACCAACAGGCGACAAGCGGAAAACAAGCAAGAAGGTGCGTGTGTAGGGGGGGGGGGGGGGGGGGACCCCTAATCCTGGATGCCGGAATCCTTTTACCCTTTACCCCCCATCCCCACAAAACCCGGACGGAACACCCCGGGGTTTCCCCGGAACAGGGTCCACAACAAAAACCAAAAGGGGAAAAGGGGAAAAAAAACAAAAAAGGGCCTGTGTTAGGGGGGGGGGGGGGGGGGAAAACCCCCCAAAAAAAGGGGGGGGTTTTTCACTTTTAAAAAAGGATCCCCCCAAAAAAACCCAAATTTCCCAAAAAAAAAAAAATTTTTTTTTGGGGGTTGCCCCCCCCAAAAAATTTTGGAAACAAACCCAAAGGGGGGAAATTTTCCCCCCAAGGGGAAAAAAAAACCGGCCCCCCCTTAAAAAACCCCAAAATACCCCCAAAAAAGTTTGGGGGAAACCCCCCCCACCCGGGGGGGAAT